GGAACGGAGCCTGGCCTGCTAAGGCAGGTTGTGTCCGGGTGTCCCCGGGGAGTGTCCTTACTGCCGATTTTATGTCTCTGCCCTTCAGGTTCCCTGTCTGTGCAGCGGTGCCTCCTGTCTGCTGTGCCGATGCTGCCCCAACAGCAAGAATTCAACAGTCACGCGTCTGATCTATGCCTCCCTCCTCCTCCTCAGCACCATTCTCGCCTGCATTATGCTGGCACCGGGGATGGAGGAGCAGCTGAAAAAGGTACGGAGGGGAAAACCTCTTTCTAACTGTTTGCAAAACCATTCTGCCAGTGACTATCGATTCTGTTTAATTGGAATGGATTATGTGACAAACACAAGTGTCCAAATACGACTCATCCCCCCAGTTAAGAGGCTGCATGTATGGAACAGCTTCTAGCTGAAATAGTGAATTCGGTGAATTTTTGTACTGTGAAAAATGTACATTTTTAAAGTACGTGCCTGGTCTGTGAAACCTGGTGCTAGCCAGTCGTTATCAGAGGCCTGCTGCTCTGGTCCCTTAACCTTCCTGAATGCTGCTAGCAGTGACATGGGGACAGGCAGACAGGACTGAGATCTGTGCAGGCCAGCTGAGCACAAGTCTTGCTGTCAGACCTCCCAGAGGCCAGCTGCTGACAGCCGTAGCTGTTGGACTGCTGGAAGACTGGAACTGCAGGCGCAGATGTAATTTCACGACTGGACGTGTCTCTTCTCAGATACCCGGGTTTTGTGAGGAGGGGCTTCACACCCTGCTCCCCCACGTGGATGGCTTCGTCAGCTGCGACGTCTTCGTCGGCTACCGCGCCGTGTATCGCGTCAGCTTTGCCATGGCTCTGTTCTTCTTCCTCTGCTCCCTGCTCATGATCGCGGTGAAGACGAGCAGCGACCCCAGGGCCGCGGTGCACAACGGGTAGGTGTGAGCCAGCTGCCTGCTCTGCCAGCCTCGTGCCTCTCACCTTGGCTCCGCGCAGCGGCGAGCCGTTCGTGCGCGCGTTGGCAGCCTTGGGTGTTCTGAACTGAGCACAGAGCAATGCTCTAGCTCCCTAAAAAGCTGCTGGTTTGTGGGAGCTGTGCAGGGCTGGCAGGCTGGGTAACGGGAGGGGCTGGGCTCTGGGCTCCCTGCTCTTCCCACAGGTGTTGGATTTTGGCTGGTTTCTGTGGCCAGCCTCGCACTGACTGCTGCTCAGCGGGTCATTCACTCGGCCAGTCTGACCCAGTAAGGCAGCAGGACTGGTTTCTGAGTCACTGATTTAACTGGGTTAGTTCGAGGCTAGATGACAGACTTATCACTGAGTCATTTCATTTGAAAGGGACCTTTGGAGATCCTGTGATCCCGTTTCCTGGGTAGAGTAGGACCAGTGTGGAGCAGGTTATCTGGGGTCTTGTCTAGATGAGTTTTGAATGTCTCAGAGGATGGGGACACTTTGATCTCTGTGGGCAGTTTTTTTCAATATCTAATTGTGGTTTCTCTTTTTGCAGCTTGCTTATGTTGCCTTTTGTCTTTCTGCTGTGCACCTGGGTGAACATCTTCATCTGTAATCCCCCTGAATGCAACTGTTTTTCTTTTTCTTTAAATTTCTATTAGCCCCTCACCTGTGTACAGCAAACTGTTTGCAGAGCGTGTGAAACAGGACTATTGTGTGCAGAGTGAGACCAGTATTTGCAACTTATGTATTCTTTTACAGGTTTTGGTTCTTCAAAATAGCTGCCATCGTGGCTCTCATGGTCGGAGCGTTTTACATTCCTGAAGGGCCTTTCACAAGAGGTACAGTTAATTTATCATCATGGGGTTGGTTGATATGCAGAGGTTGGTGGTCAGTGGCTGCTGTCCAGATGACAGGTGGTGTCCCTCAGGGCTCTGTGCTGGGACCAGTACTGTATTTTCATCAATTGTATATACAGTGGGATTGAGGCACCCTCAGTGGGTTTGCAGATGTCACCAAGCTGAGTGGTGAGGTCAACATGCCAGAGGGATGGGATGTCATCCAGAGGGACATGGACAAACTTGAGAAGTGGGCCCATGTGAACCTCATGAGGTTCAGCAAGGCCAAGTGCAAAGTCCTGCACCTGGGGAGGGGCAGTCCTGCTATCAGCACAGGCTGGGGATGATGTGATAGAGAGCAGCCCTGCAGAGAAGGACCTGGGGTGGACAAAAGGCTGGGCAGGAGCCAGCAATGCACACTCATAGCCCAGAAGCCAGTCACACCATGGGCTACATCAAAAGCAGCGTGGCCAGCAGATGGAGAGAAGTGATTTTGCTCCTCTGCTGTGGTGAGACCTCACCTGGAGTCCTGTGTCCAGCTCTGCAGCCTTCAACACAAGAGGGACATGGACCGATTGGAGTGGGTCCAGAGGAGGCCACAAAAATGACCCGAGGGCTGGAGCAGCTCTGCTGTGAGGCCAGGCTGAGGGAGCTGGGGTTGTGCAGCCTGGAGAAGAGGAGGCTCCGGGGGGACCAGGCCTTCCAGTGCCTGCAGGAGAGCTGGGGAAGGACTGGCTACAAGGGTGTGTAGCGAAAGGACGAGGGCCAATGGCTTTATTCTCAAGCAAGGGAGGTTTAGATGAGACATTAGGAGGAAGCTGTTCACTATGAGGGTGGTGAAACACTGGAACAGGCTGCCCAGAGAGGTGGTGGAGGCTTCATCCCTGGGGACATTCAAGGTCAGGCTTCATGGGGCTCTTGAGCAACCTGCTTTCATTGTAGATGTCCCTGCTCAGTGCATGGGGATTGGACTAGATGAGATCTAAAGGTCCTTTCCAACCCAAAGCATTCTGTGAATTCTGTTTAATGAACCCAGATCTTTCCACAGACTTTCCAGGCTATAGCTGTCAAAGTGACCTGGCAGAAGACACAGGTTCTCTCCTGCTTCTTCAGCGTGTGTTGGTTCATCCAGTGTTTGGTGACCAGCTGAAGTGGTGCCAGGAAGCAATCCCTGTGCAAGTGTGTAGGTGCTGGGTAGTGATAATTCAGTTCTGTGAGACTGTCACTAGGCTCAGGCTGCTGACACTAGGTTAGAGGCAGCTCAGAACACTGACGAGTGCAAAATACTTCCCTAGAGTCTCTGAAACACCTATGCAAGAAGCCTTTACTGTCTGGCCATGTGGCAGGAACTTGAAAGGGTTGTTGAACCTCAGAGAACTGTGGCAGGATGGTACTTAAATACCAAAGATGTCTTCTGCTAGGTCTTGTGTTCATTCTGAAAGTGCGTGGGGCTGAACGTTGCCATGCCCAGCTTGACTAGCACAGGCTGCACCCTGGAGCAGGTGGGACTCCTTGTGATGGACAGCATCTGCAGTTCTCAATATCCTTTCCAAGTTTTTCATTATTTGTCTGCAGGGTAATTAGGAGCTTTTTATTTTATTTTAAACTGGGGTAGCGTGCAAATGATGAGAGCTAACCCTGTTGTTCTTGCTCCCTTTTCAAGCCTGGTTTGTTATTGGTGTTTTTGGAGCCTTCTTCTTCATTCTTATCCAGCTGGTGCTTCTTGTGGACTTTGCTCACTCCTGGAACGAGAGCTGGGTTGAGAAGATGGAGGAGGGAAATTCTAAGTGTTGGTATGCAGGTAGGACTCTTACCCTGTAATGGAGTTGTCTCTCCTGGGCAGCACTCTGCAGAATAACATTAGTTTGCAAACATACCTAGAATTACACTCTGCAGTCTCCAGAAACATTTGGAACTAAAAGCTGCCGTGTTGCTCTCATTAAATAAACACAAAAGATTCTGGGCTTGTGATGAGCAGCTCTGATAGTCACAGTAAACACCACTTGCCTGGTTCCAGTGTGGGCCAGCCCTGGCAGCCTGGCTCTCCTCCCCTCTGACTGTGCTTTGCCACCTCCCCTGCCAGGGTCCTCGGGCAGTGGGTGGCAGTAGGACCACACAAAGTGTCTGGGTGCCTGCTGACCTCTGGGTCACAAAGTGCTAATTGTTGTGGTTCTGTGCTCATGGCTGTGATTGCTGCCACAGCCTTTGGCAGCTTCTTAGAAAGAATGTAGCAGAAAGGAAGTTAAAATGGGTGGCTTTACCCCTCCAGTGTGTGATGAGGGAGGTGAATCTTTGTAATCCCCACAGAATGGCTATTCCTGCACAGCAGAGGTGGTGAAGCTATGACCATGACTCAGAAAACAATACAACACTGTTTATTGGCTCTTCCTAATGACAATCAGTAAGCGTTGTGGATAAAGGCACGTGGTTGGACAACTGTTTCCTCACTTGCAATCTAAGGCTAAAAACGTGTCACTGGTTAATCCCAGCAAAAATGAGTAGAAGAGAGTTAGAAAGTAAAGTGAGGGGAAAGAAAGACAGGAGAAAGTTAAGAGAAGAGGTCTCACCACCTGTGGATCCAGCCACGTTGGCTGGAGTCGAGGTCCTGCTCTGTGGGTGGTGGGTCGATGCCAATTCTGTGCCTTGAGTGTAGATTTGTCCTCTGGGGCAGTGTCTAAGTTGCTGGGTGTTCTCCAAGTTGCACATGTGTCTCATAGACTTGAGAATCTTCTTGAAATGAGGCAAGATGTGTTTCATGGGGTCTTGGGTGGTCGTTCTGATCAGGTATCCCCCATAAAGTGTCTGGTAATGGACCGTGTCCATGTGCATGCTCTGTTGGAGTCAGGGGCCACCAACGCCTCCTGTTCCTCCACCACAGAGCCTGCACTTGTGTAAGAGCTTTGAGGCCAGCTTGCCTTATTGTCCTTGGCAGGCCTCTAGCATAGAGGGGGAATTGAGAGCTCACAAATAGCCCAGGAGAACCATGCAAAAAGCACTTTCATTTTGACACTGTGGCTTGACATCAGTTAAAGCAATTAATCTGCCACTGTAAGGCAGGTTTTATTCACCTCATGGCAGCTTTAGCTTTTCTCTGAGCCACATTACTTACTGAGCCAAAGCAGAAATTCAGCCATACCTAATAAAAATACATTCTGCTAGTCTAGCTTTCTGAATGAGGGACTGTCTCCTTACAGGGGTAGCTGGCCATTAGAACACCTCAGATGTACTGTTAAACTATGTGCCTATTGTAACAGTGAATTTCTTTTCCCCTCCAGCTCTGCTGTCCTGTACCAGCTTGTTCTACACCTTGTCACTGGTTTTTGTTGTGCTCTTCTACATTTTCTACACAAAGCCTGATGACTGCACTGAGAACAAGTTCTTCATAAGCATTAATATCATCCTGTGCATTGCTGTCTCCATTGTTTCTATCCTTCCAAAAGTTCAGGTAGTATTTTTCTCTGCCATTTTCCTCTGACATACAAAGCAGGGAAGTAAGAAAGCTGTAGCACCAATCCCATCAGACATAAGAGCTTTAATACTTGTCTGTTCTAGCTATGCTAGATAGGAACATTTAAAAGATAAATCATGCTCTGAAACCAAGGCACAAGTTAGTGACGTATTTCCTGAAGGCAGCCTTTTGTTTTTACAGGACTTGTTTCTATGTGGGGGACTGCTGGAGTGGCTTCAGTGGTGAATGTTCTGGCAGAACAGAGAAACCCGTTAGGAAAAAGCAAAATAAGCTGGGAATTTATTGGCTTGATACTGTAGATTGGAAATGATGGGTAAATGTGTTTAATATGAGGGGAAACTTGCATGTTACTTGATTCTGAATTGGTATTGCTCAAATAAATCACATGCTAGATTCATATCTACAAAACTGTTGAGCAATTTGGGACTAACTCAGAACAAGAAACCAAGTCTTGGGCACATAAAAATGGAGTTTGGTTTGCTTATCCCTTCCATGTTTGATTTGCTCATTGCATAAATCATATTACTCTAAGGAGCTTCTTCTGGTCTTTTGAACACAGAGCAAAGCCCAGTGTACTTCTGAAATATAAAGTTTTTAATGCTAGTAATTGTTGAGTCTGTGGCAGTAGGGTAAAACTAGAACTTGCCCTTTTGACCTTGGCTTGCTGTGCTCTTTGAACAGGAACATCAGACTCGCTCTGGCCTCCTGCAGTCCTCAGTTATCACTCTCTACACCATGTACCTCACTTGGTCAGCCATGTCCAACGAGCCTGGTAAGCAGTGAGTAACACCTTGTGAGAGCAGGAGCTGTTGGTGGGCTTGTAGTTCTTGCAGATCCCTGTGTGGGGATTGATGACGTGTCTGGATAAAATCTACTGAGGAGGTAGAGCTGATTTTACTGAAACTATCAAAATGCCTTTTTCTAGAAGTAAAATGGGGTATTTGTGAGGGGGGGGGAAAAAAACCCAAAACCAATGTGTCAGGGTATTCTGATATTATTTATTTATTACACCCTTGCCTAGCTTACAGGAAGGAAGAATATTCTGTGCCATTGCTGCCTCTGGGGACTCAGATCAGCAGTTAAAGGGAATGGAAAATTGCAAGCGTACCGGTCATCTTTTCTTAACTAAGTGCTGTCAAAGCTCATCTCTCTTTCATCTGCCTTGAAACCCCTTTCAGAACGAAACTGTAACCCGAGTTTGCTGAACATCATCACCCAGATAGCTACACCCACAGCTGGCCCAGCAAATACCACCTTGGTGCCTGCTACTCAAGCGCCGCCCAAGTCCCTGCAGTGGTGGGATGCCCAGAGCGTTGTTGGATTGGTTATCTTTGTCCTTTGCCTCCTGTATTCCAGGTAGGATCCGTGCTGCTGTCAAATGCTAAACCATGGGATTTGTCTGCCTTTTCTTGTTTGAATCTGGGTCTAGTGAAAAATGTACCTGTATTTATTCGTATCCGGCCGCTGCCTCAGGCCCAAGTATGGCGCATAGAAGTGTGTTCTGCTCTGGGGATGAGGATAGGCTTCATCAGCCCAATTCACACCAAAATTGTTACAAGGCCTGGACTAGGAACATTGTTGAATTAGCTTAACAAAAGCTTGGGGGAAAACAGGTCTCTCAGGGGAGCTTTCTTCTCATTCCGGATGGGTTTAGAAATGTTATTTGCTAGTCCTGGACACGTATTGTGATCTGTTGCTTGTTGGCAAACGTCACCGATTGCAAAGAGGAGTTTTTAAAGCGTGCTGTGTTTGGGTTGTGCTGCAGCATTCGCTC